CAACCATCTCACACACAAAATGATAGTCTAGCTCAATGTGCTTTGTTCCGGGCATGAGAAAAGAATTAATTGTCATGTAGAGAGTATAGAATTATTTTAGAAAGTTTTTTGTTTTTTTTTTGAGAAAGTTAAACCTTATTATTACAAAAAGATGTTGGTGGCTGAGAAAAAGGCACCCCCTATGTTTCGAAGAATAAAAGAAAAACATGTCAATTATGTAGCAATGGATGCCATAGATTTGTATCCAACTTCAACACTTGAATGAGTCAGTCAACTCTTTCTTAGGACTCCCAGATTGAACTAAGATAGGTGCAGACACCAGTGGTTGAACGACGAGTGTTTGGACAACTGGATTAGTCTGCATCAAAGAAGTTGTATAACTCAAGGTAACTAGCAGATAATTCTTGTACTAAAGGACTATGTATCATTGAGATAATGAAGAATCCACTTACTTGCCTGAAAATGTGCAATTATAGGGGCATGCATAAATTGACACATTGTATTAACGCTATGGGAAAGGTCAGACTGTGTTATGGTATTATATTGAAGTGTACCAACAATGCTCTATTAAAGAGATGGATAAGGAAATGGATCAGAAATGGATCAGGTGGTATTTGAGGATATAGGGATGGGTTGCCATTTTGTTTTTAGAAATATAAAGAGTGCGTAACTGAAAGGTGCGAGGGTGTGATTGCTGGTTGAAGAGAGTGTGAGGGTTGGTTGGTTAAAGAGGGCATGAGGATTCAAAGGTTGAAGATGGTGTTACTAAGATGTGGGTTAAAAGAAAAAAAAGGAGCACAAATTTAGTGCGTAGAGAGAGTGTTAAAAAAAAAGGACGAGTTTTGTGCAAGAGAGATTAAAGAAGAAGGTGCTAATAAGGTAGGGGTTAAAAGGGAAAAATGGGGAGAGAGAGAGAGAGAGGGACTTACTTTGGATAAAGGAACAAATTTAACATAGGAAGCTATGACTAGGATCGATGATCTCTCTGATACCTATAGAGAGAGGAACTTTTTGAGAGAAAATTCACACAACTTTAGTGTAATAGCCGACCTCAATGAGTTGGGAAAAGGTTTTGAGAATGATGATGAAGGAATACAACTCATATACAATTTACTTTGTCAGCACTTTCCTATGTATGACACCTATGTAATATACACTTCCCTATCTTGTCAATACTTTCTTATGTATGACACTTATATAATATACACTTTCTTATCTTATTATATTCTCTCGAAAGAATAATATTTCCACACTGTTCCAAAACTAGGATCGATTTTGTTTCTATTAGATTCTACATTTATTGAAATTGGATTCCAAATATAATGATATTTTCGCCATCAAATAGAAACATAAACATATGGCCATAAACTACAAAATAAACAATTCAGAACCTATAAGAAGCATCAATTTAGAAACTCAATTCCAAAGATATTGGAATATCAATTCCATATATGAGGGAATCTTGATTCCAAATATGATAGAAACTTGATTCCAAAGAGGACGGAATCTCAGTTCCATATTTGTAAGGATCTCGATTCTATTTGGGTCTAATCTTGATTTGTATAAAGTAGGAATTTCGTTTCCCACAATTCCCCGTATACGGATGTCATTCCAAAAATAGGAATATTCTAGCCAGCCATAATTCCACGATTCCGATTCCTAAATTGCAACAACTATGTCCTAAACCCAGTCTTAGATGACATCTGCTTGAAATCTTCAAGGAATAAGTCCATCTTGGTCATCTCGTAATCTAACAAGGAGCATGCAAGCTCATTGGCATTGTGGCCCTTGAATCCAGCCCTGCTACAGCTGTAATGGATATCATCATTTGATACTATTCACTATTTGTTGCATTGAAAGTGGCAACAATGTCATAGAATAGCCTAGTAATCAATCTTTTTATCTCATCCATAACGCCAGATCCCCATAAGAGGCCTTAAGGGTCTTTTGGTGATAATCATACTTTAAGGGGTCAATTTGAGATGCCTCAGTAGGTGATTGGGGTTGGGGTTGGGGGTTGGTGTGCGAAGACTGAGAATCAACATCATCACATTTTAAAAAAACCTAGCACTATAACCAGACTCATTACGAGTTCTATAAATCTCTATGTAAATGAAAATTAAAATGCGACAGATATATGCAACAATAACATAACTATCACCAGATTGAGTGACACTTCTAAAAAATAAATCAAATATCCCAAAATTTTGAGGCCAATGGCCAAGTCTTCGTGTGTAGTAGGAGTCGATGCCTCCAATTCTCGTCAAAGCTTCCTCAAATAACTCAAATCGAGATCCCTGAAGCAATTTTGAGTTTCGAGTTTGGATCTAGTAGATTTGTGTTCTTGATAAATAAGCGCAATGGGATATTAAATTCTGTCAAATATCTCCAATCTTAAATTTTTTATGCTATTTTATATAAAATAAGCCTATAGTTGGATTAAGAACACAAAATAGGCTTAAGGATCAAATTTTCTCCAAAGGTTGACCATCCATTGTGAAGAAATTACGACTTTTCAAAATTGACAAAAAAGTTGGCCAATGTTTTTGATCTAAAATAATTTATTGGATCTTATTTTTCCTTCTCAAATCCATTGTTTCTAGTGGATGGATATAGCTAAAATCTATGGTTTCAAATTCTACTAAAATTGGTATGCTTTAGGGCTTCAAATTGGAAAATCAATGAGAAAAGGGGGATGGATTTCTGCGCCCCCCTTCCTTTGTTTATACCGATACATGTGCAATCGCTCGAGTACTGTATGGAACTGTACAGGGCACCTAAGCACCCTGCTTGGGGTTCCACGAGCCTCCCCTTCCTTTTTTTATACCGATACATGTAGAATTCTCGACCGAGTATTGTATAGTACTGTACTGGGCACCTAGGTACCCTACTCGGGTTCCACGAGCTGTGGAGTCCGAGTCGAATCGGGTGAGTCTTGACACATTGATATTTGCAGTTGTTTTTGTTTCAAAATGAATATTACACTATGGTAGGGATTTTGGCTGAAATTACATGTCTCTCTTATCTATTGAGGGTTAGGTGTGTTCCATTTCCTCACCCTCCACTAGAAGTGTTACCAGCATCATTGACAATGCATTCTTCTTTGCACATATTAAGTTAGTGCATATCGGTGATTTCATCGTGGGAGAGTACCAAGGACATAATGTGTCCTTTAACTTGTGAGGTAGCAGTGAGATAATTCTAAGCCACGTTTGATACTTGTATGTTATTAGTTTTATTCAAATTGTTATGATGTTCAATTTTGCTAGTAAGGTGTAACTTTTCAAGGCCGTTAGTTTGGCCATTTTTGTGATTCCTCCAATCTTTTTATTCCACCCACAGTGCCGGCAATACTAGTGATGCAGGCAGGAAAGATTTGAAGAACAGTAAAAGAACACGATTTTTCAGCCCAAAACATGCAAAATTTGGAGAAATCCTAAAGTTTACTCCTCACCCAAGCTACGTTTCCAAAAATCTTAAGCTTTTCTTTCTTTTTCAATTCTGAAAATCATGTGGAATGACCCCTCTAGGCCCCACACACCTCTTAAATAATAATATTCAATGTTTAAGGCCATTAAATGCCCATACAATAATTAAAATGACCCTAAAAAATACCGAACTGAAACATAAAATCCATAACGACAATTTTATCCCTTTGCTGTACATCCTTTGAAATTAAACTAATATTAAAAATAAGAATAATTTTGCCCTCTCCAACTAGCCATTATGGATTTAGTACTGGCCACCCATAGCTATAGTGGATTACTAAAAACATGGCAGCCAAACAAGCCTCTTATTTTCAATATTCCATTATAACTAGTCAATATATTCTTAATAAACAATATCACGCTTCCCAACATTCTCCTTTTATTTAAGATGAATGAACATTATGGTGGTTCCTAAATTCTGCATTGGGGGATCTGCAACCATGTTTCTGCCATCAGCAATGCACATGTGAAATATGAGTATCCCTTCAATAGTTGACCGTCAATTAAATATCCAACTGACTTTTACTCGGCTTTGATATGATGACTGTAGCTGTTGTGACTTGTATTATCCACCCACTGGAGTATTGTGAAAAAGTAAGGTGTCATTTGCATGCCGCCCTGAACTATAGTTCGGCATTTTTGGGGTGGTGTTTTAGATGAGGCATCATTTGTGGTTGAGATTGCCTCTAGGGGTGTTACTTTAAAACCCAAAGTAGGTGATTGTGCTAAAAATAAACGCTGGAGTTTTGTGAGCAAGATGATAATAGAAATACCAGTTCTCATCCTGTTTGCAAAATGCTTGTTGGAATGCTAACTGCACATTAATCAAAACGTAAATTGCATGCCAAACTGGCGGTAAGAATGGAACAGACTGATTTTACCTCTTTTATATTATGATGATCCTAATACATCAGCATAATAGGAGCCTCCTAGCTCCTTAACATAATAGGAGAGTGGTTGGAATGTCTAGCTGTTCACAGAAGTTTATGATGTTATACATTATTGTCTTAAGAGTTGTGAATGTTATTTGTACCAGGATAACTCAAGGACACCATCTATCATTTTCATCTCAGACTGCATGCTGAGAGATCACCCACTTTATGTACTATGGAGCATTTGAGCAGTAAATCCAGAGGCTCTTATGCCATTGATAGAATTTAAGGTTCATATATATTTTTTTCTTAACTGATTCTAGAAGTCGAAGATACATTTTCATAGATGTCATTTAAGACAATATAGAAAGATGTCCAACTGTTGCCTGTGACGCCTTAACAATCAGTGTTCGAATCCCACGTTGTACTCTATAACAATATTATGTTATATGTGGACTATGTTGGGATTAGTTTAGAACTTTTCTCTTAGAATTGAACCTTTCAAGTGACATTATTGACGGGGCATGATTTTTTAGTGGTTCTTCTTGAATTCTAAAGTCATCACACATCTAGCTCACCTTATGATAGGTGTCTTAGAGTTGCTTGATGGATAGTGTCTCATTTGGATTTTCCTATTCAGGTAAATAATCTGATTGAGGCGTCAAAGATTTACAATACATTGCAGACAATACTTGATAGGGATATCAAACAGAACTCTGTAAGCAAGGCAGGAAGCCTTTCACGTAATTTGCGTAGAGTTAGGCAGGGGCTTGACCTCATCAAAGCTATATTTGAGCAATTTCTTTTAACCAAGTAAGTAAATTCCTTACATGTTATTATCAATTATGATGTCTTTCTTTCTGCAATTATCACAGTTTTATTGTTAAATCTTTCTTATTGCTTAGTTTTTGATCCTCAATTTTTGATAAGTTTGTTATTGTCCATTTAGTGCGTGAATTTGTTCACATGATAATTGTCCCTTTCATGGACAATTGCTTGTCTGAAGTGTATTTGCACATTTGGAAGACAACTTCAAATGGTTATGTACATTCTGGGTGGCTTCTGTACTTTAGAAGAAGTTTGAATCTCATATGATTTTTCCTGCCCCTACTGTGTTAAGGAAGGATAAATTGTAGCCAATATTGGGACTTGCACTAAAAAAAAAAGTCAGGCTAAAGAAGGGACTCATACATTCTGGGACTCACAGAATTGATCTTTCACTGTTCACTTTTGCCAGTTTTTCTTCCTTTCATGTTACCAATTTATCTTTCACTCTTCAATTTTGCCAGTTTTTCTTCATTACATGTTACAAATGGCCTATCTAGTTCCCTTCTGTTCCTCAGGAGTTTTGTTGGGAGAAAAATCAATTCTGTCAAATATGTTGTTGACCACATACACAGTTATAGTCTCGTTCGCTATGAGCAGATTCCATTTGGTTGATATGTCATTCAACATGCCATTGCTCTTTGTGCTCCTAGGTAACCAATGTAATGGTTAGGTGCTTTGATTCTACTGTGTTTATTTTGCCTACCATCGTTTTCCAGTCAGGATGTTACATTCTTCTTTTTTCTTGTTCTAAGAGAGTAGAATTCCTTTTATCCAATTTCTTATGCCTTGTACATATTGGGATGGTGTCTGAGCGTAGTGGAATCTAGCGTGTTGCAAGTCCTAAGGTTTTCTTTATTTTATTTTTGGCTGGGTAGGACCCAAGTTTTATTATATAAATATCCATCTGTGGATTGAGATTTCGCCAAGAAATCTTCTCCCTAAGAATTTAGTGGCTTGTATCTCACAAATTTTGCAATCTTTAAAGCCCCTTGTTTCTTTGAAATTTCTAGGAGTAAACATATTTTCTTCCACAAATTGCTTTCCTTATCCTTCCTTTGGTTCACGTTTGCTTTTCAAAGCCATTAAAAAGTTTTAGCTCTGTTATTCTAATTTGTGAGAGCTTCAGCTCATTTTGATATTTAGTGTCAGAGATTTGGTTTTTCTTCTTTACTTGCGACCAGCTATCTGAAAGCTTCTATTTTTTCTTTTATTTTTTCCATTACTTTTTTTTCTCTCGTGTATGTGTCTGCTTGTCATGTATTTTACAAGTGAACCCCTAAACTGTGCATTTCTTTTGTGAATGTTAATCCCAAAACCTACTCAAAAGTTTTTTTACTTGGTTCCTCTATGGTATGTGTTCTTCTCTCTTTATCTTTGGTTTTAGTTGGAGTAACAGATTCTAGAATAACTGAAAACGTACATAATTGCCTTATATCTCCCTTCAATAGACTTCCATGATATCTTTCAAGATGCAAATTCCCAATTTTCTCTATGTACAAGATAGTGTTGTATGTAGTCTGTGTTGTGTATTATGCATTCTAGTACTCTGACTGTCATTTTAGTCCAAGGATTTGTATGTAGTTATTGTAAATGAACAAAGGGTAGATGTTCAACAATATCTGATATATAATCTAATAAATGCACTGTACCTGGTTCATTTTTCATTTTCTGCTCTCTCTTAACATTTTTTCTGTGCTGGAAAACCTTAGATTTTACTTGGTATCAGAAGTTTGGGAAGATCAATAACTTTTTCCAGCACAACCTGAGGCTGATGCGTCATCGCTATAGTTCTGCCATCACTCGCATGGACGATTTTTTTGTATGAATTGAAAGTCTTTAACCAAATCAAAGCATTTTTTTTATTGGGATTTGTGGCCTTTAAAGGCTTAGAGAGCTTGTAAAAAAAGTGATATCTATAGTGGAATATGCACTTCAGTGGGAGTGTGACTGTTGACTGACTAAGGGTTGGGCGGTTTATGGTCTTAGTCATGTCCAAAACCCTTAGCCCTGGGCATGTGGCATTACCGAGAAGGGTTTGCAGTGGGTCATCCCTTGTTGAGGTCGGAGAGATACTCAGGGATCTTTTTTGTAGGCCAAGAGAACTGTGTGGTCTCTTGCATTTGGTTGTAGGCCTGTGAGAACAAGGGCTAAAGCCTCATGAAACTTCTGCACGACATGTGCACACGACCGCATTACTGAGAAGCAATCCTTTTAGAGGGACACGTGTACATGTGCATAGAGAGAGCCATTTTGCACTGTAGTGACAAGTGCTAGACTTGCTCTTAAAGGGGGAATTGAAATCTACATTCCAAGATCATGGTCCCATTGTTTACTGTTCAACTTTGACAAGCAAATTATGAGCCCTTGCTTGCAGACTGTACGTCATGGGTCTTTATTGAGTTGGATAAAAAAATAGTACTGGATTATGGTTTCTAGGGCGAGTGGAGTGCCTTTAATGCCGCTAATTTTGACTCATTGGTACCAGTCCACTCCTAGTATATTTTATTTTGGTATTATAAATGTTTTTTTGATTTTTAAATATTTTCAGAATTTTAAAATATTATTTCTGCTGTAATTTTCATTAAAATCCCTTTATTTTTTCCACACCACCCTCTCTCCCTTCTATATTTTTGTCTTAAATAAAAATATAAGTTGGCTATAGAGAAACCTTAGAGCTCAATGGTTTGCTGTATTTTGAAAAAGGAGAGCAACCCAGGCCAGCCCAGCCTAGAGAGAGATCAAGTTACAGATTCTACGCTAATTTTTTCCGATAGGGTTTTTATAAAGGGAAAAGTTTATATAGAGTCGAGGCTCTAAACAATCAAATTTGAGCCTACCTCAAAACTTTCACTAGAAGAGGTTGTTTTGATGCCCAAATATCTACAAATTGATCATCTCGACATTAAGATGTATGGATATGAGAAAAAAATGGATTTCAAGTTTTGGAATATTGTATTTTGTAACACATTTTTGGAACGTCAAGTTTCAATATTTTCAAGTGTTCATGGATCTGTCAATCTACACTATTTATGAAGCTTTAAATTTTATAAATAAATCTAAAAATATATTTTAAGGCTATCACAAAGATTTCCACTATTGAAACCACATTTCTTGACACTGTTTGAAGGTGGGCTTTAATTTGATTGTTTAAAGCCTAGGCTCTATACAAACCGTACCTTTTTATAAACCCTAATTTATTTTTGAGCTCTCTAAAATACTAGAGAAAAAAAAATTGCCTATAAAGCTTGCCTATCTAAGAATTTCTAGCAACACCTTAAAGAAAAAAAGTTTGCCATTGGTCAGGTAATTGGTTCCGGGGTGGACTAAGTCCTGGTAGAGTAAGTTCAGACATCTTTCAATAAGTGTTCTCAGTAGTTTTAATTAATTTTTAATATTATTTCCTAATGTCTGTAAATTTTCAAGAACTTATTTTGTACTAAAAATTATAGTGGGAGTTAAATTTAATGTTCTTGGATAGTTTCTATTTCTCATGACAGAGAAAATAAAGATCATGGGTTGTATCTAGGGCATTATTTTAATTTTCCAGCAACATATTGTGCTACGTAAGTGGAATTCAGGTCTTTGAAATAAAAGTAAGAGAATTTTTTTTTGAATTTAATACTTTGGGTTCCACGTAGCTACACCTTTCATTGATATCAGAGCCTCTATATTTTACTGCCATAGTTTAAGAGTTTTTATTTTCATTTTTATTTGGTCTAAGAAACATGACTTCAAAAGGTTTCATGACTGAATTTATTATGTCTGAAAGATTTGATGGGAAGAATGCTAGTTGGAAGAGAAAAATAGGCTATATCCTTTTGGAAGGACTTAGCCAAATGCTTACTGATGAACTCCCACCAGTCCCAAGAGGTAATGCTTAAAGACAGGCCATAAGAGAAGTTTATGCTCAGTGGGAGCACAAAAACACTTTAGCAAAGCATGTGCAACTTATGGCCATGGATGACACCCATGCTCTTGAGTATAAGCATTTGCAGACTGCAAAGGAGATTCATGAACGACTAGAGACCGATTATGCCTCACCTTCTCTCACTAGGAAGACAATGGCTATGAAGCAATATTCAGATTTGAAGATGAAGGAAGGAGGCAAGTTAATCGACCATACACAGCAGTTCAGAGCTTTAGGTCATGAACTCGAGGCTGCACAAGTTAAGCCAGATGAAAACATACAAATCTGCCAATGGCTGAATTCTATGCCGAGCTCATGGAAAAACTTCATTTCAGGCCTTACCGCAAGGGAGAGCATGCCGAAGTTGGATGAGGTCATCACCAAACTTAAAGCAGAAGAAGAAAGGAGATTGTCTTGCGATACTTCAGCCTTAAATGACTTTGTAAATCTAGTAAGTCTTAAACCCAACTCTGGTTCATTCAAGAAGAAATAAGGCAAATGAAATAATAAGAACAAAACAAAGGAGCATAAAAAGGGGAATAATGGGCCTAAGAACAAGAAGGATATTTAAGAATACCCAGTGCTATAACTGCAAGAAATTTGGGGACATTGCTAAGTATTGCAAAACACCCAAGAATACAAATCCCAAGGGCGATAGGGAGCATGCTTGTGCGGTCCTTGAGACTATGCTAGCTGACCCTAAAGTAGGGTTATGGTGTTTTGACTCTGGGTTCACTTCCCATGTGTCAAACACTAAGCATGGATATAGAAATTTCAAGCCTGTTGCCCCTAGGGATCAGTATATTTATATGAGTAGGAATCAAAAGACTGAAATTCTGGATATTGGAGATTTCATCCTTCAACTTGATAATGGCAAAAGCATGGTCCTAAAGCAAACTCTTTATGCTCCTCAGAAGAGGAAGAGTTTGGTTTTGGTTGCCAAAGTGGCTATGGCAGGCTACTCCACCATTTTTACTGATAATAAGGTGGAGGTGAAATATGGAGATGAACTATTTATGAATGGTTATCTTGTAGATGGTTTCTTTTTAGTTGCAATAAAGAATTTCATTTCTTATGT